CGGGGGCCCTGAGTGTTTCGTGGCTGTCAGCAGCCGTCCCTCTGCCAAGAGGGAAGTGCCAGTGGCAGCTGCGAGTGCGTGTGACTCATGGCCAAGTGAGTGAGGGGTCAGCGCAGGGCGGGACGTTACTGTGGCTGGCAAAGCTGCCCGGCTCAGGGATACCCCCCAGCGAGCGCTGCTGTCAGTGCCTGTCGCGGAGCTGATGTCACTAAAGGTGCTTGTCCATGTCTGAGCCCCCTGTAGGCAGCCCCCACCGCCAGCTGGGGAGGGGTCTCCTGGTTGCTCTGCGCTCCCCACGGGCTCCTCTGCAACTGTGGATTCCCCGGTGCCAGCCGACCTTTCCTGGCAGCCAGCCCTTCCAGCGTGGGACCGGAGCCAGATGTTCTCAACCCCTGCCAGGAGCTGGGCTGGGTGGGGCCTGGGATTCCTCGCCCCCTCACACTACTGCTGGGATGGGGAGTGTTCTGCGAGGGAGGGGGAGCGATGCACTGCGAGTGCTTCTGGTGAGGGAGGCGAAGGGTCTCAGAACTGGGACTCCCAAGCACAGGGCTGCATCAGCACCAGCTCCTGCCCAGATCAACACCCCTCCCAGCGGGGCTGCCTCGCAGGGGCCCTGGGCACCATCTCCCCTCATAGGCTCCTCCTCCTGCTCTGTTCCCCCGTGGACACAGTCCTCAGGCTGACGGGGCAGTGCCAGCCCTGCTCAGCCAGGACGGGTCTGGTGGTTTGCCAGGCCGGGCTCACGCTGTGGCCTCCCACCAGCCAGAGCCTGGCTGCTGATTGAGAGCTTCATGCTTCGCCTGACCTGACCCCTGCCCGCCAGCTGCCTGGGAAGGGGGCTTTCCAAGTGACTGGCTCCCCTGGGCTAGTGGTGAGCCATGATTGGCCAGATGCAACCTGGCATAACTCGCCTGGGCAGGAACTTGGCCCTAGCCTCAGGCGAGCTGCAGGAAGTTAGCAGGGCCCGTCGGGGAGCCCCAAAGCCCAGGTCACGCTGCCAGGCGCAGTGAACCTGTTGGCCCCTGTTCTCAAAGCACCCGGGAGGGACCTGCTGATGGGATTCCCAAATCCCTGCGTGGCAGGCTAGGCAGAAGGGGGCTGGGCTGTACGGGGCAGGGTGAGGTGGCACTGCTGCCCCTTGGGAGGAAGCGCCGGAAGCCCCGGCTGGCCTGCAGCCCTGGTTATTGCCTGGGTCCTGTGAACAAGGCACTTCCTGTTATTGAAATAGCCTGCGGAGAGTGAGCCAAGCCCTGTTGTGATTTATGGAGTGTGCTCCCCGACTCCTGCGGCGCGCCTCGTTCCCATGGCTTAGGGCCTGCTTCCTGCCTGGCCTTTGGGAAGCCAGCGCGCCTCCATTTGACTCCAGCCTTACTGACGCATCTCAGAGTGCTTCAGCCATTGGCTGTAGGTCCGCCCCCCCACTCCTAAGTCCC